AGACCTCACTGCGTTCGGTCTGTACTCACGACCTCGGTCAAGATTCTCCCATACAGACCTCCAGCTCGGTAATAAGAGCTAATTATTGCTCTATAACTTCGACGCGTATGGTCCACATACGGGACCTTTTTTCTAAAGATTTTCTTGGGAAATAGCGCGCCGGGCCATAGGGTCATATGATAACAACTATTTTACTAAAATTTTGGTAGTCTCTTCCACAAGACACACCATTCAGTGAATGGTTGTGTTAACTGTAGAAATTGCTTTTTTTTTTTAATACTGGTGTTTACTCACTGGCTATTTCATCCCATCAGATCACTGCTACACTAACTACATACGTAGCTGACTTCTACTACAAGAAGTCTGATGTCAAGTTAAGGTAACCTATGTTGTAACAAGTTGTTGCTAAATTGTTACAAATTTGGACTTCCACTATAAAGCGGACAATTTTGACCTTACGTTTCACTGTCACTTATAGAATTGCTTGATTGTCAGCTACTAACCAACATTGTGTCCACATGGTGAAATTGACAGCCCAACACCGAAAGTTCAGACTTTATTAATGACAGTTTGCCACAACATTTAGGTAACAATACAGACGAGTTACCTTTTGTTAAAATTTACCCTGCGGAGGACTTCCCGTATGACTACTCACATTATTTTAATAAGATGATCTTTGGTCATAAACAAAAACTACCTTATTTTACTGGCTAAGTAAAATGAAGCAAACAACAAAAGAAAACAAATATGCTACATTTTGCAGACTTTTATTTTAATCCCCTGAGAAATTAAACAATAACAACTATAAATTTAAATCACACAAAATGGTAAAGCTGTTAACCAGGGGCTAACAGGCTAGGGCGTTTGCGCAGTGACCCCAAGATTAAGGGTGCATTCCTTTGGGGTGATCAGGACCAGGATCAGCGATCCATGATCACTCGGATCAAGGTGCAACAAAGGAACCGACGAGCCCTTACCCAGAGTGGGTTCATCAGCTCCTTGGATTCGCAATAATCCCAGT